GTGTGTCTCGTCGTGTGCCATCACTATAAGGGATTAGAGTATACTAAACTTTACACATTATATATCAGACCTGGCTCTTTAGTTTTTGGACTGGCTCCTGAAAATATTTGTCAAGGCCTGATCTATAGGATTATTATGCTTTTTATTTGGTGATATCAAGTATCAGGAGTTTGTTTCTCCAGGGGAACCTGAGAACCTATAACTAAGCAAAACCTGGACCCAACAACCACTGAACCTGTGATATTATCAGTGGTGAAAACTGGTTTTTTATGATAGGTCGAATGGGTCACAATGGACAAACTATAGTTTTATACATTTTTATCACTACTGTAGTGAATAACAAACTTTTCTACTTGCCAATTACATCATTTGTAATTAGCAAAGTAGCAAACAACTGCTACTTGTCTCCCTTTATGATTTTTATTGAGATGGTTGAAATTGTTAAATTTTCTTTATGTGCAGATACAACTTGTCAATGTGCAAAACAAGGTAGGTAATATATAAACTGTGTGCTTGCTTATTTTAGCATAAATAGTTATGAAAATCACAAATTTTTAAAGTTGGCAATGTGAAAAATTGTTTAATGAAGAGAAACAGCCAGTATCCAGTGGAATTTTTTTATTTCCTTAAAGTTTCAGATTATGACTTAATCAAGAGGTATTAATCATTAGACCTATGTAGTATTTTTATGTTATGAACATGCATGGAAAATGGCTTTCAGGCAAGTAGTAATGGCCATAATGCCATTACACATTATGTGTCAGAAGTAATGATTTTTATAACTTGTCAATTTTTATTAATTCATGGTCAGAGGTGGTCAATTTTATTTTCCCAGACTGGTAAAGGTTAGAATAGTGTTCTCTCTATATTCATATCAATTTTTCATGCAGTTGTTCTGCATTTAGTTAACACCTTCTGAACACGATATAAGCAGTTGTAAACTTGTATTGATTCTCAGTTCAAGCTAAGGTACATATCAAAGTGGCTATTCCATAGAACTTGTATTCCCTTGGTCATGCTTGAGCTTACCATTGAAAGTCCAACAAATTTTGCTTGAGCATAGGAAAACTTTTGTTTCTTGTTTTACTTAAGTGTAATAGTCTTTTTTTTTTTTTGCAGTGCATGTAAATGTTTGAGAGATTAAAATTATCAGATTGTTTGACCCATCATTGCAAAAAAGCTTACTTGTTTACAGTTCTACCCGTGAATACTACAGCTGTATATTTTATAACTGTTCGGAATATAATAGGAATATAAGTAAGTTAGTTAGTGTGTTTAATATTTTGCTATTTTTTTGTTAGTGATGGGTCATTTTATTTTCCTGTTGTGTGATTTCTTATCTGATATGCACTGTCTTAAATTGCTAAACAAAAAACTGTTACCTAAAAAATTCTTTATGTAGTTCAATAAAAGGTTATTATACATTTAAATTACTTAGGAAATGCTATTTAGACCACAGCAATGAATGGTAAGTAATTTCATGTAGCAACGTGTAAAGCTGCAATCCTGAAAATTTCAATTAAATTATGCAGTGACTAGATCAGGATGGTTAACTTGATACAATAAGTTAGTTAGGAGCATCTATTATGTTGATTAATGTCACGTAAAATAATTGATTAATTAAAATTACATTTACATCAATTAATCTCATGAAAGTAATCATCTAAGCTTAGTTAAGGTTTCTTATTATTACACTTTTTGATTATTTGAATTATCCATGTGATTGAAATATTACCATTATGGGTTTTCATTAATAGTTTCAATTAATTTACAGTTGTTCCACTTCACTTTTTTGTGTTCACAACTCATGAAAATAATCAATTAACCAAAGTTAGTTTTTCCAATGATTATTTTTAAATTATTTCAACTATCCAAGCCTTGTGAGATTAATCGATTATTTGAATGTAATGATCCTAATGATTAATTGATTAGGATATTCCACTAATTGCCCAGCTCTGGCTGTGACTGACAGCTCAGAGTTTGTCTTTATAACCATGTTTAATCTTTGAGGGAATTGCACTTTACAATAAACATATTATTTTCATTAATAACTCTACCATTAATTAAAGTTTACCTCTATAGTTTCTGTAAATAATTTAAATATTAATTTTTTAGAGAGATAACAGAAACTATGGTCCAGGCAAATTCAAAGATCTTTGGAACCCAGAAGCCTGTGTTTGATGGAAGAAAAAATATGTACACTAAAGACGATCTTCCTATTGGAAAAGATAAGGTCAGTTTGTATTTTTTTAAATTGTTCAACATCATTTTGTTGCACAAGATAACATAATGTGGCAAATGTTATTAAACATGAATTATCCTATACTGAATTGAATGCAGTCAAAGCTATTTTTTGTCTTTTAATAAATATGAAACATATAAAAACATAGTCATTGCTTCTAAAAATACTAAATTTAACACTCATGCTTTATAACTATTTAAATCATAACTCTCGTATTAAATTTAAATGAAAAAGTCATATATATATATATATCTAACAACCATAGTCACTAAACTAAACACCTACCTGATTTGATGATTATTTTATTTGATAAACGTTACAAAAAAAACAAATGAACTCATGTTTACAGACATTGGAACTCAATAAAACCATAGTATATCTTGTAAAAAGTAAAAACTACTATATTTAAATAAAGAACCAAACATTATACAGTCATGTGACTTCTTTGTTTCATACTTTATTTATACTCATGTGTCTAGGTATTTATATCTGAGGGTGACAAAACCTTCTCCAAACATTTTATATTTTTACAATATTAAACTTGTAATAAAATTTTCTTTGTTACCCATTTGATTCATTTCTAAACTGTATCAGCTTACTTTATCTTAAGTTATCTGATGTCTTCTCATTGGAAATAATTTCCGTAGCTTCTAGATATAATTTAACACACAAATACACAATTAATAAATGAAAAGAAACTGAAAATAAAAAGAACGTTTACAGAAACTATAAAAAATGATATATACCTATATATTTGCTATTACATGATAGTCTGATTCTTGCTTTAATCAATTATTTTTAAACTTTATAACTGTTTTCAAAGCTGTGATCAAACCATATGATGTGGCATAATAACAAAGTTTCAACCAAGAGCTGTATAAAAAGTAAGGGAAACCCTTGAAAATCAAGAAATGGATAATATATTCTGAAGAGGTGATAGATTCTTTCCAAAAAGTTATTTTTTGGGATGGGCAGTAAAATTCTAAGATAAATCAACAGCTGGCATGTTTTCTTTGCAGGTAAAACTCTCTACCATTGTGTAGAAATAAAACATGAGCTTCAACTTTTTTTTAGTTTTCTTCATGAATTACACTAAGTGTCAGAAAATGACAAAATATGGATTCTAAAATATTTTTGAGTTAAAATTATTGAAATATGATTAGAATTCATATATAAAATTGAGTTTAAAATTTATATCTAAAAAAAACTTTTAAAAAGTAGCAACAAATATCAAAAGCCAAAGGAAACCATGTCTTCAAACTTCAGGTACAATTATTCAGAATTATTAGAATAATTCAGAATAATGTATCTTAAGCTTTGTACAGGAAAATATATCATCCATGCAATGCAACTGCATTGTTTACATTTAGAAACAATAAAATATCTACTCACTTATCACTTAACTGTTTTTTACTCACCATTTAGTAACCTAAATTAATTTAGGTATGTGGATAATACTGTGGCATTAAGTCAAATTTGTTATTTGGTATTATATGTTGGAGTAAGTTTTTGATGATGATTTTACAAATTCCTTTTCTTTTCTTTAGATTACTAAATAGTGATTTTAAAAAGTACTTAAAAACTCCACAAATACTATAGGCACATCACCATTATAAGAGGCTTTACTGAGTTTCATTGATTTGCTGAGGAGTCTTGAATAGGCAAAACAGCAGTCTACAGCAGAGAATATTGCAAATCAGAGAATGTAATGGGCCCTTTTGTCATAGGTTATATTTTCAATTTTACCATTATTGAAAAGTAAAAAAAAAAACATGTAATAGCATCATTTTCCAGAGTTGTTATTTCAAACAATTCTGTGTTGTTTCACATACTTATAAGCATGTTTATTATAACAGTGTTTATAGTCTAAATGTTAGCCAGATGTCAAATGTTTTGAATTTTGTTTAATCTATATAAATGTTAAAAATGTGCGAGTCAAATATTAAGAAACTAAGGTACTCAGAGTTTCTTTCATTATTTTCTTCCTACTTTTTTCACATGGTATTATTGGGAGATGATGAGATTCATGTTCCACCTTAACCTTGCATTTCTAAAAATATATCATATTATCACTCAGTTTTAAACAAATTCCTATATCACTATATTGTTGATATTACTAATAATTTATACATCTAACAAATAAACATTACTACTAAATTGAAAATTAGGTTGTGGTAGACAAGAAAATACATTAAATTATGGTTATAAATATTTATCTATTTATTTAGATAAAACAAAAACAATTGTTGATTTTCCAAATATAGAAATAAATGTCAGAAATGATAGTTTAATCACCTTTAATTGGAATTAGTATTTGGCAGATTGCCAGCATATCTTCTGCTGCATTAAGATATTACAAACTGATGTGAAACCAACATCTAAAATTTTTAAATTAAAATTAAATAGTTATAATTATTTATAACCATACTTATAAAAAATTATAACATTGATGAACAGGATACCCATTTTCAAAATTATTTAAACAGTCATTTTCACTTATTTTAGACATCAACAATACAGAATATCTTACAGTGAGAAATGATGAAATTTCTAATGGATGGAAAATTAATCTTGTAATAACTCTATGTTATAAGAGCTCCAAGTGTCCTGACCAATAGTAATTTTGAAGAAACAAATCTCTAAACTCTACGTAGACACATTGTTTAGTGTCTGGAAAAAAAGCAAGCCTTTAATATTTACCATGGGAACATTATGTTGACTTTCATATTGTTGTATTAGTTTGGAAATAATCAGTTATTAGTTGAGGTCTTAGTTGACTTGCTGTATTCTATGTATGCTATATTCCAGCTGTATTGATTTCAGAAAACCTTAAAAAAAAACTTTTATGGTAATGAGTAGCCCAATCAAATAAATACACTGACATCTGATGTTTCTTTTTGATACTATATGGTAGTGTAAAGATGTCTAGCTGTTTTATTATTAATTTCTGAAAAATATGGAGGGGGTTAGCCCCCTCTCAAATCTGCTCCTAATTATACAACAATAGATGATACAGCCTTTAATTTCTAGAAAAAGTGGAAAGGAGCCAAGTCCTCTGTACCCTCCTCCCCTATATTCATGTCTGCTTATACAACATTTAAATAATACAGTTGTTAATTTCTAAAAAGAATAAGATGGTCCAGACCCCCTAGATCCACACTAGCTAAAATAATGTTAGGTAATATTATTATTAATTTCTGACATGGGATTTGTCTCCTCTGGACCCTTCCCCTAGATCTGCATCTCCTTATACTTAGAGTTTGCACACATCCTGGAATTCACCCTACCTGATTTTTTTCATTTACCCCTGGAAAAATTAAAGCCCTCTTACTCTGTACATCTTACAATCTGGATATTGATATATATTACTCTCTATTTCTATATTTACAATATCATAAACATACAAATTAAACAGTAATGGATCCAAAATAGAGCTTTGTGGAACACCATATTTGATTGTCATTGGACTACTCATTATTTCTCCAATTCTTGTTATTGCAACCCTATTACTCAAATAATTCATGAACCAGTTATATAACTTCTCTCTACTACTCTACTACTAATAATAGTGGTGATAGTGATGACCATTTTGAAGAAACTAGTACTTATACATGTACTGATTCATGTAAATAACTAAATTTGTCACGATTGTAAGTATCAAGGGTTTTTGTTTTTTAAACGGGTAAAAACTGTATATTACAAATAATCTTTATGGGGAATGCAACTTCCAAATATATGATGCATCAGTTTGAGTTGGCTATTGAAGGACTAAACAGAAAGAATTTGGTGCAGCTCTCAATGGATGGTCCCAATGTAAATCTACAATTCAAATGACTTGTTGCTGATGAACTATCAACACAGTATGACAAGTCTCTTTTAGATGTTAGCAGTTGTGGTGTGATTTTATTGTGAAGCTTGCTAGTAAAATACTGGAAACATTTCCACTCAAATATCCACTGGCCAGATATATCTCATGCCTTGACCCCAGAACTATGGCAATACTAAAAGAGGAGAGCATGACAAGGATGAAAAAACTGCTTACTTTGCTGGTAGAGGTTAGGAGAGTGCCTGGAGGATTAGCAGCCTGTGATGACATATTGGCCCAGTTTAAGAATTCATTGATGTGGATTAATGCACAATTGATCAGATTTTCAATCATTTTTGCCACACAATGAGAAATGCAGTTTGGATGAATTATTGTCCAAGTTTCTGTCTAAAAATGTCCTCTTCAACAAAGTCTGGAGTGTTGTAAAAGGTTTGCTCCTAATTTCACATGGACAACCAACTGTAGAAAGAAGATTTTCTATCAACAAGGAATTTGAAGTGAAAAATTCACATGAACAATCCCTCATTTCACAGAGATTAATCTTTGACCATATTAATGTTGTTGATGAAATCCTTAACGTTAGCATCAACAGCTCACTTTCAGCTTCAGCAGCATTTTCAAGGCAAAGGTATATATTCTTTATTGAGGAACAATGGAAACAAAAAGAACAGGCAAAAGTTGGTCAAAAAAGAGACTGTGATGAATGAAATAGACAGCATAAAAAAATAAAAGACAACATTTGCAGGATGATATTGCTGCTTTGCATGAGTTGGCAGACAAGTTTGCTGAAAAGATAGAAGCATCAAGAAAATTTACTTTCATTACCAAATCCAGCAGCTTTAGGGACACTGCTAAAAAAATGAAAAGAAACTCATTGAGTTGAAAGACCGATTAGATGAAAAATTAAAAGAACTGAAAGGATAAATATACACATACCAAATTGTGTACATGTATAATTTTTCATTAGAATTAAATAATAATAATTATCTATGCATTTGTCATTCTCTACCAGGTTGTCTTTAGATATTGAATCAGGATCTGTACATGTGTCCACCTTGTTTTGTTCTATCTGTTTAATAATTATGTTCATAGATATAAATATAAATAGTAAATCTAGTTTTCATGTTATAATCCTGGCTACTCAACTAATTACTCTATGAAAACGATGCAAATTGTCCTGGAAAAAATGATATTCCAAAAGATACATACTTCATACTCACACTTATAGCTTTTACTCAGGGTTTCTTCCTTTGCCCAACTAAGCATTGGTCTGATTTTTTCTTGCTTGCTCCAGTCTTTTATACCCCACTCAGTTGCCCTTTACTATATTTATCTTGTGATACTCTCCACCTACATCAATGCACCCTCTATCCTAGTACTGTATATAGCACCTCATTCATATAATGTTATCACTTTTTCTTGGCAAAGCGTCACTAACAAGTTTTCCATTATCATGATCGTTCATAGACACTTTGAATGTTAACTGTGTTATCTAGTTGATTTTCTTAATAATAATTTCAATAACATAAAATACCCCCACCAAGATTGGCAAGCCGATTTACGGTATGAATTCCCGGATTCTTATTTTCTAAATGGAAGCAAATCAGGTCTCTACTATCCCACCTCTGATATCTGTCGCCGCACAACAATCAAGGGGGGGGCATTCTTGGTTAAGACTGTCAGTGATCTTATTCATTGTGAAATGGAAACATATATTCCAATCTGTGGTAGGCCTCTGTGGGGCTTTGAGAGCAATCCTCAATATTCTGGAGAGAATTTAGATTCAATTTTTCCTTCATCTTCTTTTAGTCTGTTGGCTTTTCATTCCCCTGTGGGACAGAAGTGAGTTGGCAGACTCGCAGCGCTGGGGTACTGGATGGCCCAACATTGCTTTGCTCTAACAAAACAAATTTAGAACACAAAATTATGTTCCAATCAACGATAATCAACATAGTCTTTAAATGACATATAAAAAATCAAAAAAGTAGGCCACTTTGGGTTAAGCTGCCTTGGATTTGTTTTCTCCTATTGTTTCTTCAAAAGTGTGATGTGTTTGGCTTTTCCCAGTTGCTTTTCAGCCTGCACCTTACTTGATGGCTGAAAGGTCTGGGAGCAAATTTGTAGGTTTCTCGCCATCTACAGATATTGTAGTTCATGCTTGAAGGTTTACTGCTCATTTACGTGAAGGGACAGGTATGCCTTATCCAACACATTGTCGGAACTTCTTGACTTAGCCTGTAAGCATTTTCTGACTCTCAAGTAACACGTCTGCTCCTAGAATTGTAGGGTTCTAAGGCAGAATTGGTAGTTAACTTGAATAGATCAATGTCCCCTGATGGAACAGGGTAAGTCTACAGATTTGCAACTCTAAAATTCAGCATTGTGTTTTCCTTTCACTTCACTTTCTTGGAAAACTTTCAGGATAACCAACTTCATTGGTGACAAGTTGGATCCATTGTTAGCATGCACGCTGGTTCAATTATTGGCTTTTCCATTCCTCCCTGTTGTCATTGGAGGCTCGAAATTCCTCGGCTCCTACAGGGGTCATAGTTCCTTAGCACCTGGAATAGATTCTGTGTATATCCAAGGGTTCCGCTGCTTGGTTGGATTGCCAGCAGCATATGTGATTATTGTATACCTATAGGGTTTGTGAGGGTTTGGCTCCAAGAATTTCTGGACATTTGGTAATCTTAACCATGGATCCAGGAGCACTGTAGATCCTTGAGTCAGGATTAGTCTTACAGTTCACATCTTCTCCACTATTATCCACACAACTTGTGGGGTTTCCATCTCCCACACATCATCAGGATTTGAACTTAGTTCTGGGACTATCACAGTTTGGTTGGTCTGGGAGTATAGTGCTAGTTCTTCCAAGATTTTATTCCTGTCTGTTGTTGTGCCTATGCAGACAGGACATTGGTATCCAGTCATAGATCTTTATCATCTATAGCAATGCCTAGATTATCCAAGGTTCACAAGTTACTCATCCCTCAATCTGAGTTGACTTCTTTACTTGGATTGTAGATGTCCAGGTTTGTAGTCAGCTTCTATCTGCACTTTGCCATAGTGGGAGAGTACCAACACTTTTTTGTAGTACTCGTGTTTATCCCTTTCTCTATCTCTTTTTCTGCACATGTCACGAGGTTTTTAGTGAGTTGCATTCAAAATTTAATTAAACTATTTTTCTTTCCATGGTAAACCAATAAGTATAGGATAAAAACGTAGCTAATAAGCCATATTTTAAAAAATATATAAGATTTAAGCGCTTGATTTTATAAAGTATATTTTTAAAAAAGTCCTGAATTTCCCCTAGTGTAAGAATTATGACAATTTCTCCCTGGTCATTCCATATTTTCTTATCTATTTACCCCCCCCCTCTCAAGAAGTACAAAATTTAACATAAGCTACTCGTTATAATGTTATCATCTCTCAGGCAAAGCATAATTTTCATAGCCTTCAATCGTATTTGGTTGCAGAGCAATAAAATAGAAAATAAGACCTATCTTGCCTTCCCAACTTGCCTTCTTTCAGAAATTGCCAATAGTTCTCTCCAGACCTTGATTTTAAGGGTCATCCAGTAATCTGAGATGACTAAAAACTTCCTCAGACAACCAACTTAAACCCCTGTGTTGTGTGAAGGACAGATAGTGCCCTAGAACATACCCTTATTCAAAACAGCATTGCAGTGTACTGTACACTTATTCATGCCCACACTACACATGTAATGTTGACTCCAATCCTTGACCAAAATCATGGTACATTCCCCAACAATGAATTCAAAAATTTGAACCCCCACAAAAATATCTTTTTGTCCATTTTTTTTATTTTAAAAAATATTGTACTTTGTACAAAATAAATGTTGGTACAATCCACAAAAAGGAGCTGAAAACATTAGGAAAAGTTTGGTTTTGTGATTGACTAATAATGTTGTTTTAGTCACTAAACTTTCTAGCATGGAGAAATTGCATGTAAATTTTGTATGGAGTTGCTGTGTGTGATAACACAGTACAGTGTATACAGTTTAGTTAGTTACATTACCACACACTAATTTTTTTTTTTTTACAAGTTACAGCTTTTACACTAAGTAAGATTTATTTTTAAAACAGGCACAGCATTTCGATCACTGGTGCTTTCATTCCCAAATACACAAGTTTAAATGATAAAAAAATATTTAGTATTTAAATCAAAATTCAACCAGTGTAAAAAATTGTAAAAATATTATACATATGTATACATAATCAGTAAGTAAACTTATAGTTACAACACGTAAGGCTCCAATATTTTGACAAACATGATTATGAATATGGAAATCAATTCTAAAATGTCTGGAAAAACTGTACAGAGCACTGTTGCAACAGCTGACCAAAAGTGAATAAATCTTCCATTGTTTCTAAATGCTAAATAATGTAGTGTAATTTATGCATATGATACAGTTTTATGTACAAAGTTTAGTATACAAAAAAGTAACATAATTTCCTTTGCTGTTTAACATTTTTTGCCACTTTTTAAATTTTCTTTTTGAGTCACAAGTTTTAAAATCAATTATAGAGCTGATATTTTGTGATGTTGAGTAATGATGAATAAAAAATAAAAAATTTCATATTTTAATTTTTTGCACAACTGCGAAGAGTATTGCTTGTAAATAGAAGTTTTGTCCACTCTAAAGAATAGCTTTATTTTTATTAAGAACCTATCATTATTATTCATTTCTTGATTTTCAAGTGTTTCACATAGTTTGTGGACTAATTAATTAATCAGATTGATTAATGAACCCATTAACTAAGAAATACCATTAATCACCCAGCTTTATATGCAAATAAAAATCTTGGAATGTAACTGAAATCATAACATTATGTACACAATAGCCAGTTTGTTCAATTATATGGGTCCTTTTCCACCCATGTGACTCTTTGTGGGATTTAGAAGAGTAGGTAAACAAGAAGATAGAACACACATGATCTGATTTGTTCATGATTTGTTCTACCGAGGAATATGTTTCATTATATTTCAAGTTTTATTAGTACCCTAAGTTATGTAGTGTTGAATAAATAGAAAATATTATTTGAAGTTACATATTTTACTTAGAATTTTCTTTGCTAATTTCTGATAAAGCAGGCACATAGAAATACAAATCTATGTATGTGGTATCTCCTTTTTTCTTTCTAATTTTTAAACTTTTATGTTTCTAGGTGGAATTTGAGGTTACACTTCCTGGTGAGGGAAAGGACAGAGTGTTCAGATTGGCTTTGAAATGGGTTGCAAAAGTGAGTCTTTATGCCCTTGAAGATGCCCTTCAAGGTGTTTCTCGCACTATTCCTCCAGAAACCATACAAGCTCTTGATGTAGTAATGAGACATCTTCCCAGTATGACGTGAGATTTTTACTATTTTATATTTCTATTTTACCCAGTAATGGTTGTTTTTAAATGTAGTGAAAAATAGTATGAATGTATCCTTTACTTCTTTCGAGCCCACTGTTTGCATTCTAATCATTTGGCAATTGTTAAAGCAAAATATTAATATAACTGAGATTTTTACTTAGCATAAGGAAAATGTATAAATAGCTTCTAGTTAGTTATATTTTATGAGACATTTCCAATAAGGTACTTTCCCTCTGTTCACAAGATAGCTTTTCTCATTTTTTGCTGCCCTCTGTATGCAAACTTTCTCAGAAACGCATTCCACAGGCTTTCATCATCCCTCTGTTGGGAACCAAAGTTCCAACATGTCTCTCATGCAAATCACCATGCATCAGCTCTCCACCAATAGGAGAGCATTACTATAATGTGACGCATGTGGCTCACTCTAGGCGCTACTACTGAACTATCACTTCTTATTTGGCAGCTGCCAAGTTGCCTTGAAATGTTTTTTTTTATTTTGCATTTTTTATATTTTTCTTTATTTACTACACTTCACAGTTGTGGAGTTAATATTTTTATTAAAGCATTACTTCCTTGGGTTTGCCATTTTTTCCTGTTTATGAATTCTGAAGTTACAGTTACCACTTTGGGTACTTTGCCAGCATCTGATGCCATATTTTCAGCCATGGGTGCGAGAGACCCGTCGGGGGATATGTTGTTGCTCATTCTCTGGAAGATTGAGCAGTACATCAGCCAACCTCTCTCGCCTACTCGTCTGTCATCGGTCATTTCAGATTTTATCTTTTATCTCTCAAGTATGAGATGTTTTGTCTCTTACACCTGTTTCCTACCCTTGACCTTCCCTCTTACATGAAACAACTTCCCAATCCTCTTTCCCCCTGTCCTCCAATATTATGGTTCACACGGACCGATTTGCCTCTCAACTGGAGAAGGGCGTTAGTATACCTCGTCCCCTACAGACTTTGGATCAGTCCACTCTTGCTTATCACTGGCCGGACTTTCCCTCTCTCGACCAACAGTTTTTGGGGTCAGTTCTACCTGTTTGGGAAGTGAACCCAGGTTACCTTGTTCAACTTGCGCAAGCCCAATTTTCTTGCCTTCATCTCACCCTCACAACCCTATTAAAGTATCTTTCCTCTCTTCACCTTCTATAAGAGGCTCTTCACAGTAACCCTGAGGGGTTTTCTGCTGAAATCTTCTCCATCTTTACTTCTACGTTGGCTCATCTGTCGTCTTCGGCTCTCATGCTTAAACATCCTTTGTTTGTTGTTGGGACCTCTTGAGTCGTAACGCGGTTTTGGTGCAGACCTGTCTCCAAGATCCTTATCTAAGGTATCTCTGCATGGTGCTGTTTTTGTGGTATCATGTGTTTGACTTGGTTCATGAGTCATTGGAGTCACGGTGGCCTCGGCCCATCAACATTTTACCTTACTAACTTTGTAGCTCGTTTGTCACAGTTAATGTTGGATGTTTCCAATGCTTACCTACACATTCCTGTGGCAGAATGTTTGCATCCATCTCTTTGGTTTGTCTATTGGGGGATTGTGTAGTTGTTTTGCACTTTCTCTCTTGACTTGGCCTCAGCACCAATCGTGTTTTGTCATGTGGTCTTATTTATATTGATGACTGGCTTCTTCTTGCTCATTCTGAATAGGAATTGGCCTGTCAAACTCGTCAGCTCCTGGCCGAAGCTGCGCAGGTGAGCTGGTTGGTTAAACTGGTCCTACCCAATACCTTATCCATTTGGGTGTTTTCTTCAACACCCATCTCAGTCGGGCCCAACCTTCTCCTCTCCCGCTTTCCTATCTGCTCCCTTACTTACTACTGGTGAGGTTCAATCATTTTTGGGGAAGTGGTCGTCCACGACCCCCTCTCATACCCCCTGGGTAGGGCCCTTATGCTGTTTCTTCAATGAATCTTTTGTGATCAATGGAACTTTGCCCGGGATTCCTTGGATACTTCTATATCTCTTCCCTTGTCCTTTGTAGACGATCTTCATTGGTGGTTGAACATGGCCCACACATTGGTGTGGGTTACACTTCCTCCTTCACAGCCAGATTTACATCTGTTTACAGATGCATCTCGTCAGGGCTGGTGTGCATGGGTGGATCACCAGGAGGTTTCCGGTCCTTGGTCTGTGGAAGAGATTTCTCTTCACATCAGTGTTCTCAAACTCCTGGCTGTTTGTCAGGCTTTGGATCATTTTCTTTCTCATGCCAGCTGGTTATGATCCATTCCAACAATTTTACTGTGGTGGCTTATATCAATCACCAAGGTGACACCAGGTCCAGATTCCTGTATTTTTGCACTACAGATTTTCTTTACTGGGCCCACACACACCAAAATCGTTTGATAGCATATCATGTACTGAGTGCTTTTAATCTCATAGCCAGACTGGATTGCATTTATCCCACACAATGTTCACTGCATCCTGCCATTTATCGCTGGCTCTGTCTGCATCTGAGTACTCCCCATATCGATGCCTTTGACACCACCCTCAATCACAAATTACCTCAATTTTGGTCCCTGGTTCCCATCCCCAATCCTTGGCTGTTGGTGCTTTCAGCCACGATTGGTCTTATCTGTTTCTTTTACCCTCCCATCCATTTACTTCATTGGGTGGTCTCTCTCATCCATACCACTCCACACAAGGTCCTTTTGATTGCTCTTCACTAGCCTGCTCAACCTTGGTTCACTCAGTTGCTCCAATTGCAGGTGATCCCTTCCCTTTTTTATTTCGTCCCATCCCGGCCTGCTCTATCAACCCAAATCGCCAGCACTCCATCCTGTGCACTCTGTCTACATGCCTGGCTTTTGTCAGATTTTTGGCAATGAGTTCCAGTTTCTCTTGCTGAGTAACTTCACATTTTAATCCATCCCATTTGCCCTTCTTCTTTGGCCATCTATCAATGCAAGTGGAGTGTTAATAGCTTCTGTCTCAGGGTTTCCAGGCTTCTCACCCAACGGTTGCCTGTATATTCAAGTTTTTCACATGGCTCTTTGAGAGGGGTTTTCGATTTTGGGTTTTTAAGTGGCATTATCCCATACCTTCCATTCTTTCTATTTTTGCAGGGTGTTTGCTTCTCCTATCCTTTCCAACTTGATTTGTTCCTTCCGGCTCTGTCGACCACCAAGACATCCATTGCTCCCAGACTAGGATATTAATGTGGTCCTTCATGCCCTCACTTTACTTCCATTTGAACCTCTGTCTATGTGTTCCCTGTTTCACCTCTCTTTGAAGGTGCATTTTCTCCTCCTTCTGGCCTTTAGGCATCACAGATATTTTCACACTCAACATTGCCAGGACCTTGTATCACTCCTACTACCTTGTCCTTTATCTAGATTGTGCTTTCCTACCTAAGACCTCTGTGGCTCGAGAATATTACTCCTCTTTTTCCCCTATCTTCTCATTCTGTATATCTCATCTCTACTCTCGTCCTGATGCAGACTCCTCTCTTCTGTCTATTGCTATATTGCTTGCACGGCTTCCTTCTGGGTTCCTCATTCCTGCCTTCTTATCCCTTGGCAACCTTCCTCTTCCCATGATCTTTCCCTGGTTACCCCGACCAGTTGGGTTCAATATTTGATCCAGTTAGCCTATTCCTCCTTGTCTCCTTCCCAGCATGATCTCTTTCATGTTTCCTCACATCAAGTCCATCACCTTACTTTCTCTCTTGCCTCTCGACTCCATCGGAGGAGATTCTATGATTGGGCATGTGGACGACTCCACACACATTCATCTCCCACTACCTACACCACATCACTGTTTCTGCTTCCTTGGGGCATCACCTGCCACCTATGGCTATTCTACAGACTTTGGTGCAGCTGTGACACAAGGTAAGTCCTTACTAATGCTTTCTTTTTCTTTCAGGGGGCCCCTGCTTCAGCTTCACTTTGGATCCTGCTATGTGGCAAGTGGTGCCTGACCAGGTATTTTGTCTGGGTTCCACTTAGATGGCTATAAACATTTGCAGACATTTTGCTATCAAATCCGCACCATATTCCATGTTTATTCTTATACAATTTTCTTGGCTATGTATGCTCCCCCCTTGAGATGGGGTGTTTCACAAGATCATTAGAGTGTAAATTCCTCATGATAATTGGGTCATAATATTCCTGTCCCAGATGGTACTTCCGATGGATGGCATGGGTAAAGCAGAAGAGGATTGTTGCCCATCCCTGTCATGCCTAGATTGAATAAATTGGTGTGGTCTGCTTTTAAAAATAAGGTATTGTGATCACCCATTGCATTGTCCCTCCTGGCTTTCCACCACACTTTTTTTCCCTTTCATCCAGTGGAGTATGGGAGTACTAACTAGTTCCAAGCTGCTGGGGTTGTTGACCATGGAGGCAACCTGCTGGATGGATTCCACAATGATGTCTATAACCATTCAGTTCAGAGTAGGGTGGAGGTGTTCTGCTGGTGTATTGGGAGTTATAAGATCCCAGAGTTGAGATGCCCAAATGCAGTTCAACCCTCCAATTGGGTGCCCTCTTCCTGCCCTCATGTGGATGTTGGTACCCAGTGAGTGAGGTTTTGGAGATCGAGTGAACCAGTCACATAAGTCCTCACACAGGTTTGGGGTTGTCCATCTTCCCCTCTTGACTTGTCTTCTATGTGGTGGGTTTCAGTAGGTCTACGTGTCCTGTTTCTGCTTCTGTCCTGGGTTTTCTCTCATTGGGTGATGAGGTTGTTTTGGACTCGTTTCATGGTTGCGGGGGTTGAGTGCATGCGATGGACTTCCCTCAGATTCCAGATGACACATTCCTGGATCCTTGGCATTAGACTAACCTATGAGTTCCTGGAGTCGAATGTTACGTTCCCTCTTGACTCCGGGATTTGAGGTGAAGATGGTAGGATGCTCATTCTACCCTTACAAAAATGCCGGTACCCAGCTTGTGAGGTTTTTTGATGTAGTTGACTTATGGTATGGTCCATTGCACCTTAGCCACTCTACACCATGGGACACATCTTCACTTGCTCAATTTCC